ATAAAGGCTTAGTCATGTCTCTTGACCAAGCAATGAGCTGGTGCCCTGACAGTTACTACTGATGCTTCACTTGTGAACTTGCTCCTGCTACTTCCAGTGGCAGTGTCTTCTGTCCCTGGTGGAGGTAATTCCTCCGATGACCCCTTTCGGGTGCATTTTGCCTACAATGACCCCTCGGGCGCAAATCCCTGAAATGACCCCAAGGCCTGCCCTAAGCAACCAGGGACCTTCCAATTAAGGAACGTGGTGGTACCAGTTCAAGATGTGCTAGGGTCCGGTCTCTTTGTGTCGCTTTATAAAGCATGTTCTGACAATTAATTCGCAAGCTTTGTGTTGTTTTTTAATTAGTTATGTTACAGTATATAAATCAATTCTGCATGGATGCCTCGTATAATAATTCACCGATTTTCACCATTGTAAACATAGGTGAGGAAACACCGCACTTTTACGGCAAGGCAATGAATTTTGCAGCAGTTCTTGAAAATAATAGATACCATACACAATGCCAACCAGCTTGTCTTTTGAAAAAGGTCTGTTCCAATAGCAAAACATTCACAAAAACGTGTTGTTGGATTGATTGGATTGACCGGAGGCACGTGCTTCTACTGCCACAGCCACTGCTTTCCTTATTTGGTTACTTAGGGGCGGCATTTGGGGTCATTTAGGGAATGTGCACCTGAGGGGTCATTGTAGGCAAGATACCCCCGAAAGGGGTCATCGGAGGAATTACCTCGTCCCTGGCGCCATACTCGCAGCTGACGTTCCGCCCAGTCCCTTGTCCCTGGCCCATTTCCCGACTGGAGCGCTCATTCCCTTTCTCTTTCTCTATCCCTCGTTGTCTGCAGTGCCATCCCATACGGACTCTTGGGATTCCTTGAAGGGACAAATAGACATGTCCAACCCGCACCGGGCACTCCAGATTCCCGACGTGCTCGAGATTATCATCGACCATCTGAACACCTCTGACATCGCACGACTGTGCAGGACATGCTCCGTCTTCAACGGACCAGCGACGGAGCGATTATGGAGGCACGGGACAACAGCATCATTCAAGGCGTTGACGGGCATGTGGATAACTGACTATGAGAATTCGGTCCGTCGTGAGCTTTAAGGAGCGCATGTAATGCTGACTGTTGGCAGGATCTCCCGGGCCGACTCACACTTGCGAGGAACTGGCGTCGATTTCAAATGTATTCGGAGCACGTACGAACGCTCGATCTGATGAATACCACACTCCCAAAACGGGAAGACGGCGAACGAGACGAATGCGAGGTCGGCGACCTCTTAGCTGCTCTCGCCGTCTTCGGGCGCCAGGCACCGCTCCTCCCCCATCTGCGACACTTATCCTTTCATGCGAAGGAACCGCACGACCTTGCAGGAGTGTTGCTGTTCCTCGGACCGGAACTCGACCACATCGAGCTTATTGCTAACCCCCCAGATGAGGAGAACACAGAGAAAGACTGGGCAATCCCCATCGGCTGCTTGCTGGAGCTGGCACCCATCCGGGCACCACGCCTTACGGAGCTCGGGCTGGGGTTCAAGATATCGTCTCGACATCTGGATGCGCTAGCAGACACCCTCGAGAAGATGCAACTTACGGCTTTGGGTGCGGAGACACTCGTGCTGGATCGAAACGTCTTCTGTCACCTGGCTGCGTCAAAAACCCTCAAGGCACTCCAAATAGGAGCGATCACGTTCGACAAGCTTGGGACCGAACCTGTGCATGACGATCCGGATCTGACAATCGACTTCAGCTGTGTAACGCCTTGGTCGTTCCCGGCGCTTAAGACGCTGCAGATCCACGAGTCCGTTTGGGTCATTCAGGGGCTGTTGGACGTACTCCGCACAGAGCTAGACGAGCTCTGTTTGAGATTCTACCCCGAGGAGCTGTTCACCGACCGCCAGCTGTCGCAAATTTGTGGCACTATAAGAGATCACCACCGAGGCTTGCTCAAGCTCGAACTGTGTTTCCGTGATCGGGATCCTAGAGCACCATTACACTGGTCGACGTTTTCCCCGCTCCTCAGTTGTCGAAATATGATCCATTTCACGTTCAACTACTTCTCCCCGTCTACGCTTATCCTAGCGGACCAGGATATGCTCGAGCTATCCGTCGCTTGGCCGAATCTACGCAAGCTCGAGATCGACTGGTTACGAAGACACGGCTCCGCCTTCGGCCTAGCACGAGAAGAAGACTTCACCCTGAACGCGCTGGCGTACCTCGCGGCCAACTGTCGTAGTTTGCGACTCCTCGTCCTAGAAAGCTTCGACTGCACGAGCGTGCCACCTCCACCCCCGTCCCTCTCTCCCTGCACACACCCTTTTGAGCTCCGCGTAGGCCGAACAACAAACAACTTCGACAGCGTTAAAGTGCTCGCCGCATGGCTCGTCTCCATCTGGCCGAAAATTGTTGTCGTACCCCTTGATAGGTGGAGTGACGAGCAGCAGCACTTCTGGGGCACGGTAAGTGAGATGGCGGAGGTGGTAAGGGTCATGAGAGTTATTAGGGCGGAGAAGGAGCGAGAAGGTAGTGGGGATGGGAAGAATGCCAGCAGCGCGGTGCTCAAACGACAGGAGGGGTGGTACGATACATATGCGATCGAGGCAATGCGTTCATAGACTAGCATAGGGTGTTGTAGCGATTCGATGTGTGTGAGGGAGTGTATTCTAGCGGTACCTGTACTTATACGAAATAGTTCCAGTTGAACTTGCATTAAATTATTCCGTTGTTGAGGGATATATGCGCACGTATCGATTCCAGTCGGAAATGCTGTCTGCCTGGTTAAGTGCTTCCTTTCAGAGCATGTCTGTCTCACGTTGTAGGACGCAACCGCTCTGTTGCCCTTCCTGGATGAAGAAACCCCAGTTAATACTGGAACAATCAAGGATGTCATACAGAGTCCAGATCAGAGAGTTGACCCTAGATTATCACCTATACATGCACCATTTCTCTTGCAGTCTTTCCCTGCTCAAGGCTATCACCTTGAAGGTCGAAGTAGAACACTCACATCAACCCCTTCTACTCTTTTCCCTCCTTACTCTCCTTCTCACCTACACCCACTCCCGGTGAACGTTGACCAATACTCCCCATCGGTCCCTCGAGCCCCAACGCCCTAACCTTCCCCTCCAATATGCTCACCCCACTCACCCATTTCCCCTCCCCGCTCACCGGCGTACTCCCTTGCCTGCGGGTCGCATACCCATACCCATGTACAAAACTTCCCATCCTCCTCGGATCATCTTGTGGTACGACGTTCTTTCCCCCTCCCCCCTCCCCCGTTCCCCCACCAGGAAAAGATCTTCCGTTCCCTGCACTGCCTCGGCTCGTTGGTGATGGGGAGAGGGTAGGACTGAACGGTTGTTCCGACGGCGAGACGGTCGGAGAAGACGTGGAAAGCCGCGAATGAGGCGGTATATAAACCGCCTTCTTCTCCTTCTCCTTCTCCTTCTCCCCATTCTCCCTCTCCTTCCCCGGCTCACCCCGAGGTCGCATGTGGGAAAACGCCCTCTCTCCCCTAGACTCGAACTGCGAGCGCGTTGGTTCCTTCTCGCCCGAGGTGCCCCAAGGTGAGCCCGGCTGCGTAGGCGTGCCCGGGCTCGCAGTCTGAATATTCGCACTCGAATATCGCATATGCCTCCTAGGCGCCGGGCTCTGCCTATCCATCCTCCCCCTCTTATCCTCCTCGTAATTCCTCAAACTCTCTTCCAAATCCGGGGGTACATCCTCCTGCGTCAGTCCAGCCCCTTGTAGCGCATCGACCCAGAAGCCGATCGTCGTCTCCCACACTACGTGGATCGTGCTTTTGTCGGGGACGAGGTAGGGGGGAAGCACCTCTCCGGTGAGAGGGTCGGTAATCCGCGGGTTGAGGTCGACGTAGTACACCCCTTCCCCAGCTTCTTTGCAGAACTCCTCCAGCATGCGGTTAAAATCTCGCACCATACGCCTCCGGGTCTCCAAGTCCGTTGCCGCCCGTGCGGAAGAGAGCTTGATCCCTGCCTCTTGCCACGCAGCAGCAGCGCTCTCGTTATACTTCTCACTGCAGCGGTCGAGGTACTCGTCCGGCACTGTAGGGGCAGTGACGGAGGAGATGTACAAATGGGTGACGAATCGATCTGGATCGGGGGTGTTCTCGGAAAAGAGGTGGGGGAGAATCTTTCCACGCAGGTAGGTAGAGTAGGCAGAGAAGACTGTTTGGACCCACGCATCTGGGTCGGGAGGCGGGGTATGGAGTCGTTCAGACTCAGAGACTTTGTACAGGTAGACGACTTGCAAGTCTACATGACCGAAGAGAAATAGTACTGAGGGCAGTTAGTTATGTGTACGGAGCTTGGGAGGAGAGGCGGACCTTTGGGAGGACGGAACCGATCCATGTGGAAGAGGAGTTCCTGACCTGTTTGGCTTACACTCTTGGGGTTGTTCAGGCCCTGCGAACGCATCAGTAGAGAGTGGCCAGGTAGGAATGAAAGGGCGCACCTTGGCACTCGCCCCCGAATACTTTTTCACGATCACTTTATCCCCTAGCAACTCGAGAGGTCCGACGAAGGAGTCTCCATACGCAGTGAGGAGGGCGCGGGACTTGCGTGAGTGGGAGTGGGGCATTTGAAGCTTTGGTAGGAGACGAGATGGGGCAGGGTCGGAGGGGGACGTGGGCTTGGTCGCGGAGGGTGAGCCGGTTGTGCTGGCTGAAGGGGGATTGGGAGATAGAGGAGGGAGGGAAGAGCGATGTGGTGGTTTATAGACTGTTGGTGAATGTGCGTTGGAGGAAGAGATTGGGGATGTGACGGAGAGAGAAGAGGAAGACAGGCTTGCTGGCGTTGGCGATGTGATGGGCGGCATGGGCGATATGGGATAAAGTGAGGATAAGGGATGGGCGTGCAAGCGGGATTGAAATAGAGTTTGAAGCTTGAGCTTATTAGGAATGTGAGGGGTCAAAGTCCGTGCGTTTGTTCCTTGTTCGCTGGTCGTGATTGTTCGGTGTGATCGTCGGGTCTCTGCGCAACGCCCGTCACGACCGGAAGATTGGAGAATCTGAGCGCAGCCTCTGCTTGACTGGCTGCTGCTGCGCTCGCTGCGTAGTGACCAAGTTACAATGATGGTTGGTACACCACAAGCGACTCTGAGTGGAGATTATATGCATATACTGGCCAAGTATGGAGCGCGCCAATGACTTTTGGAGAGAACACGGGTCGGCGTTAGCCCCGGATTTTCGTCTGTTAACACCGTCCCTGACAATACCGGAACCTATTGATGGTCCTCCGTTTCCCACCTGCCTTTAACCAGGTACTTCAGTCAGTCGAGATAATCTAAGTTGCTCTGGGTGCAGCTGGTCAGATTATCTCATGAGGGTCTGAGAACAAGGGTTTCTGATAATCTCATGGATAATCTCATGCTTTTCACTGGGACCCTGAAAAGCACTGCTTTTAAGTGGTCCGGACCGGCGCCCCAGGGTCCGAAAATAAGTGTAGGGGTTGCTATATTAGGGAAGATATTCCACCCCCGGACTTGTTAATAAAAAGTTCATAATAAAAGAGTTTTTCACCTGATTTCAGCCCATTAGTATTTGTTGTAGATAGTTAATAAATATTATTAATAAAATGAATTAATAAAAATAACTTATAAAAAGCACTTTGAGGGCTTTATTTAATATATGCTGGGAGAGAGAAATATGCACACCCTGGGCTATAGTAAAGTGTAGCAGTGAATTAATTTATGATACTATTGTACAATAAAAGCTATTCTAATCAGTGCTTAGTGTGTGTTCTTACAGTGCAAAGTCCTCAGTGTTCTCGGCGTCTTCCTCATCCTCATCCTGCTCCTCCAGTGCATGCACCAAATTGGCCCTCTCTGCTGCAATCCCTGCTTCCTTCTTGTGATTGTTATACTTCCTGTTTTTTGCAAACTGCTGGATCATTGCTCAGGTGGGCCAGTCCTCATCAAAGGCAGCAAGCTGTGGGGACTTCTCCTTAACCTGTGCAATGGTAAGTAAGAGTTCTACAGGCAGACAATGACTTACCTGCTTGTAGATTGTTGAGAGGAGGGCAGGAGGGTGTTCAGTGATGTTCCTGCTGACGTTGAGGTTGTGCTGGATGCAGGCTTCTTGTACATGTTGCTGTAGTTCAGGTTAGCATATATTGTAAGTAGAATTAGTAGAAATAACTTACTTCATGTTGTTGAAAAGCTCCTTTTGGTCCTTGAGGCCCATGGCCTCTATGAGCCTATAACCATTCCATTTCTCCCCATGCCCTGCCTGTCCCAGAGGCTTCAGAATGAGGGTGGAGACAGCCTCATCTTCTTTCCTCTTTTTGCTCCTCTCACATTCAAGGAGCTTCATCAGTTTAGCTATCTGGGATGCACATATATCAGTACATATCTGCATGCTGAAAAGAAACTCACCTTGAGCAGCAAGTGATTTAGCTTTTTCAGCTAATATCTCCTGGTCCTTCACTGCAAGCTTCTCCTTGAGGGTGACGGACTTCTTTGTTGCCTTTGTGAGGTCCACCGCATTGTTGACATGCTTGCCAGGGAGTTGCTTTGGGCACTTAGGAGCACTGGGGGTGTTTGACTCCTCAGAGGGCCTCTTCTGGCCAGCTGCTGGAGTCTGCATGACACTCACAGGCTGCAGAGTGTCAGTGGCAGGGGGAAGGCAAGGAGAGGAGACCAGAGTCATTGCAGAGGGGGGAGCAGGGGAAGGGGGAGCAGGAGGGTTAAAGTTGAGGGAGGAGAGTGAGTTGTCCAAGGGGGGAGCAGGAGGAGAAGCAGGAGGAGGAGGGGGAGTAGCAGGGGCAGGAGGGGGAGCAGCAGGGGGGGGATGCTTGAGCTTCTTGGGCTGGGGCTTGTGGGGAGCCATGGTGGTTGAGGAGAGAGGGGGACAAGGGGGAGAAGGGGGGGAAACATGTTGACATGCCTGGATATATATATTTAGTTAGTTCACCTATGAAAATATTTCAGTGGGGCTGAAATGAGCATGTGGACCAAAAGGATCAGCCAGAGAGTGAATCAGAATGTTGACTTACCTGATTTGAACTGTGGAGGGTCCAAATCAGGAAACTAACCTTGGGAGCATACATGCAGCTCTCTCAATCCTTGACATGCCCAAAGAACTGCCAATCCTCTGTGATTGCAGGTGTGGTTGGCTGGTGGCAGGGTTGACTCAGTGTGAGCACAGAAAGCACAATGAGAGACATGCCCTGAAGAAGCTCATCAGTCAGCAAGAGGCAAGCCTGAAGAAAGAAGTGCACAAACAGCACATCCACAGCTTCCTCAGATGCTTCCACAAGAAGAAAAAACCCTTCCTGGACCTCCAGATGGAGGTCAAGGTCAAGGAGATGGAACCCCAAGTCAATGACATGGAGGTGGACATCCCACTGGTGCTGGAGGTGAGTTTGACATTGCTGGAGCCCCAGGATGTTGACTGGGAGATGCCAGAGGTAGCAGAGGGAGAGGAGGTGGCTGTGGAAGAGGAGGAGAAAGAGGAGAAGGGGGAGAAGGTGGTTGTGGACAATGAGGACAAGGATGAGGACGAGGACAAGGTGAAGGAGGAGCTAGAGGACTTCAGCAATTAGTTTGGGCTTGAATGGCAAATGATACCTGGTGAGTATTGGTCTTCCTGAGTAAGACCAGGCTCACAGGTGCCAGAGGAACTATCTGCCAGAGATCAGAAGAGATTCAAGGCATTTCATACAAAGATGGAGGCTCACCTTATGATTGCTCAGTACAAAGTTCTCCAAAATGCTTCTCCAGAAGTCTTCCCACCCCTCTCCAAAGTCCTTTGGCATGTTAACTTCATATCTGCTATCAAGACTGTTAGCTACGACTGCTGTGTGAACTCCTGTGTGGCTTACACAGGAGTTCTCACCAAAGAGACCATTTGCCCACACTGCAGTGAGCCCTGTTTGAAGCCCAATGGCCAGGCTCATCGTCAGTATGCGTACCTGCCTCTCATTCCTCAGCTGCAAGTGCAATATGGGAATGGGAGATGTGCCAAACTGCTGATGTTGTATTGAGGTCAGCAGAATGCACACTCACCTACAGTAACCGATATCTTCCAAGGTTGGCTGTATTGTGAGCTATGTGAATGCTACATTGAAGTTAGTGGAAAGACTCTTATGATGAAATACTTTGACTCACCTTGAGACCTTGCTCTGGGCTTATTGACAGATGGGTTTTCCCCATTCAAAGGGCCTCTGTCAACTGCCTGGCCAACAATTCTATTCAATTATAACCTTCCCCCCATGATTCAAACTCACCTGGGAAACATCTTGTGCATTGGATGCATTCCTAGCCCCAAGCACATGAAAGATATTGATTCCTATCACTATCCATTAGTGGAGGAACTCATAAAGCTGGCACACAGTGTGAAGACTTATGATGCACATAAGAAAGAATTCTTCCCCCTGCATGCTCACCTAATCCTTCTCTTCAGAGACATGCCAGCAGTGGCCAAACTCATGAATATGAAGGGGCACAATGGCCTCCTCCCCTGCAGAATGTGCAAGATCAGTGCTGTACATGCCCCAGAAGGGAGGGGAAGCTATGTACCTCTCAACAGAGCTTGTTTCCCCTTGCAGGAAGGCCAGCAGCCTTCCTATGACCCCCTCACTATGCGAGCATGCTTCAATGCTACATGATGCCCAGCAAGTATTTGTTAGGGCAACACAGGCTGACTAAGTCTGCTCACCTAAGAGTGCCAAGAGTCTAAGCAGGCAACAAGGAAGTGAAGTAGACCTGATGACTAAGACCTATCTACAGCATAGGTACCTGTGGATGATCCTAAGAGACCAAGTCTGAAGAGACAGTCCCAGGCAGAGTAGGCCTTATATTTATACCTCTGTGGTGGAACCTGCTAGAACATCTTGCTTACTCAGCCTAGTCAGGTGATCAGGTGATATGACCAAGGATGAGGTCATATGAGGTCATGCACAGCCATGCACAGCAGGTCACCTGACCATCCAATCCTTCCAGCAGGTTCCAGCACATGCCAAGGTATACCAGCTACTTCCATGTCATAAAGGCTTAGTCATGTCTCTTGACCAAGCAATGAGCTGGTGCCCTGACACTCTGCCTGCAGGAGAGTGGCACTGCTGTCACTGCAGACAGGAACCCCTCAATTTTGGTGAACTGTGCAGAGATCCAGGTCTCTGCAGATCCAGGTCTCTGCAAGCCACCTGAGCAACACCTCCCTCCCTATCTCTGGCAACCTCTCCCCTGCCTCCTCCTTGCCTCCTCTCTACTCTGCTCTCACTGACTCTGACTCTGACTCTGAGTCAAACTCTG